ATTAACCTTATTAGGAAGAAACTGCAAAATAAGGGGGACTTTGGTCATTATAATAGCAATCCTATTTTACCTAATTCCCAACCAAACATTAGATAACTTGGATTACTAATCCGGAAATGACTCAATCCAAGATTGATAACCCTATCTTGAGTTACCCTATTTTAATTAGGTTGTCAACCATATTGATCCGAAATTCAAACAATTAGGGTAAACAAATATAAAATTCAAATTGTTTGACTAACTCCATTTTGATTTTGGTCATTACATAGCATTAAATTCGGCCCACTGGTTATACTTCTAATGACAATTACAAGTACGATTTGTCTATTTGATTTTTGGGCATCTAATTTTGCTTGTTTTACATCAAAATTTGAATGATAAAGCCATACTAGAATGTTGATTACCAAATCAAGTCCTTACGCTACTTAAAAGAACAAATAAAACGGTTGATAACATGCAACCCACTTTAACACTAAATAATTACTGCTAAACTCAATGTGTGTCCACCAATACCCATGGCCTATACAGAATGTAAACATGCAATAAATGATAAAACACCACCAACGAGGGCCTCAATTGCAATAGTCATTCATTGAAGAATGGGAGCCAGCAAATTGCACATGTCTCGAGGCATATGCCATCAAATTTTGCTTTCTTCTATCGAAGTGCGATAACCAGTTCATGCTTTAGTATCAAATGGGTTGTCATCCATTGGGTCGAACATATATGAGTAATTATCCATGCTTCAATTAACCTTACCCAGTGGGTTAATATATGCATTTAAATTGCTGCCACGTGAGAAATTTGCCCTTATCTCCACACATGAGCCGGTTGCCCCTTTTTTCTACCCTCTTTTTTCTTTCTTTATTTTCCCCTTGACGTTGTACGAAATTGATTTGACAACTGCCTGTTTTTCCAAGTGATTTTGTCAGTCTAATGACATTTTTGTGGTAAAGACCACTCTTAACATACTGTATAATTATCCTAGAATATGTTTGATAAAACTGAACTGAAATCTGAAATTTAAAATTTGAACTTTGAATCCGTTAAGTCATTGAATTATTAAATATTAAATCTTATATATTTAAGTACATATTATATTCAGTGATAAGTGAATAACTTATTACTTAATTTTGGAAGTAAGTTTTGTCTAGAAAATTCAGTGCCACTTAATTAATTCAGATATTCAATTTTTGGTTATTAAACGGTCTGAATATATTATTATCTGAATCCATTAAGTTTACGTACTGAATTGGGTTATCAAATAGGGCCTTAGTGTTAGAAGGATATTTTACCTTTTTTTTGGCATTTTTTATGGAATAGTTGCCAGAGGTGTAACTATCATGTGATTCGTTCAGGTTGTAATTTGGAAAAAATTTGTCAAGGGTGCTAAATGTGTTCAAAAATTAAAAGTTTGGATACCAAATTTATTTTTATCCAAAGTTTGGGGATTAAAAGTGCTAATATATCAAATTTGGGTCCCAAAATTACATTTTTCTTTGCTGAAAATTGTTGAATTCAAGTCCATCCTAGAACTTGTGCTGCTGTCAATTTTCTCAATAAAAAGCAAAAAACACAGAGAAATGCTCCTTCTCCATCAAATTTTGGCTTCTCAAAATCCAAAAAAGCAAACTCGATTACGACAAAATCCTTTTTCCCATACTGCTAAAACCACAACCCAGTTTTATTAATTACAATAATAGTGGCTATCATTCTATAGAAAACAGTAGTATTGTTAACCAACAGGAGAGTGTATTGCGAAATATCTTATGATGTATTAGAAAGTGTGGGCTGGTGATGAAGGAGAGATGACAATTCCCGTTGCCAGGTAGCACATAATCTAGATAAAAAAGAAGATTATACATTTTAAATATATAACTATTGCATCAGAAACTCTGTGTCCCATGTAAACAAACCCTTCAGCCGCTGCTAAATTAAATGAGATGTTTTTTCTCATTCGAATTTTTATACAGCATTAGTGCAGATCTTTTCCCTTTTGGTTTTCCCTATGGACAGTGGTGGAGCCAGGACCTTTGCTTAAGGGTTGCAACATTAATATCAAATTAAATTTATATTGAACTATTCATTGTGTGTGCTATACCACTGTAGTACTAGTCCACCAAAATATTCTACCACCAAAACAGTTTTGTGTTTTCTGTTACACATTTTTATGTTATACTATGTCACATAACTTTTTGGGAAAATCGTCCAAAACGTCCCTCACATTTTGTAAAATAACTTTTTTCGTCCCTCACATTTAAAAGTGTAATTTTATGTCCCTTACTTATTCACATCGATCAAATTTAATCCCTAACTAGATTTCCGATCATTTTTTGGCCGGAATCCATCATGAGCAAGGCACGTAATCATTTTTGAAGGGTAAATTTGTCAAATTATATTTTACATAATCTGATCTATAGTCCTCCACATTTTATTAAATAAATTTTTTCGTCCCTCACATTTTATAAAATGATTTTTTTCATCTCTCACATTTCACAAAATGAGTTTCTCCATCCCTCACATTTCAAAAAATGAATTTTTCATTTCTCACTAATTATGTGTGTGAATACATTTTTTTTAAACACATGTATATGTCTATTTGATTTTGCTTAATAATAATAGCATAAACACATGTATGTAATTGGGCCCAACTTGTGGGCTATCTTCTCTTTTTGTATGATTATGATTAATATTTACCAATAGAACCTAATTTGCATATTCTTATTGTATTTTGACCAAAAATAGTTTTATTGGCCAACTTGACAATGAATGCAAAATTTTTTACTAGCTAATACCAGATGAAATCAAATGATCACGTATAATATATGGTATTCGTATTGTTAAGTAAAATCAAATAGACATATACATATATTTATGCTATTCGTATTATTAAGCAAAATCAAATAGACATATACATGTGTTTAAACAAAATGTATTCATACACATATATATTTTTTTTAGGGGTTCCCTCACACACATAATTAATGAGGGATGGAAATATTCATTTTTTGAAATGTGAGAGATGGAGAAATTCATTTTGTGAAGTGTGAGGGATGAAAAAATCATTTTATAAAATGTGAGGGACGAAAAAATTTGTTTTATAAAATGTGGAGGACTATAGATTAGATTATGTAAAATATAATTTGACAAATTTACCCTTCAAAAATGATCACGTGCCTTGCACGTGATGGATTTCGGCCAAAAAATGATCGAAAACCTAGTTAGGGACTAAATTTGACCGATGTGAATATGTAAGGGATATAAAATTACACTTTTAAAAGTGAGGGACGAAAAAAGTCATTTTACAAAATGTGAAGGACGTTTTGGACGATTTTCCCTAACTTTTTTATTGTGACAAGTGTTCCATCAAGAGAGATATTTTTAAACTTGGATTCTTATCCAATATTGCATGAGATGTGTTATTATCCAACATTGCATGAGATGTGTTAGTCGAATAAATAATGTAACAAGAGCGTAATAGGGAAAGTTGTAATTAGCAGTGCAAGTGAATTAACCCAGATGGGATCTTCTGTCTATTATATCTGTCCATTTTTCTTGTCCAATACAAAATTATGTAGTTCCACATATTAATACTGCTGATGTGGCACGTAACATTGAATACATATTTAGAGGGTGTTTGGTAAATGAGTTTCAAATTTAATAATATCCTAATTGTATCCATAGTCTTCTACTTTGGAATTTCATACCGCATGATTCAGATGAGATTAGACAAGCATTTGAGGACGGGATCCTTGAGTTTATCAGAATTGCAGTTATGTTGATTCAAAAAGTAGGTCGTCTATACTAAAATTGAATTTGAAACCCATTTACTAAGCACTCCCTAAATATGCATTCAATGTTACGTGCCACATCAGCAGTATTAGTAAGTGGAACTACATAATTTTGCATTCAACAGAAAAAATGGACAGATATAATAGACAGAGGATCCCGTCTGTAAAAAAAGCAGCCCCAACGTACCTTAACAGACACGACAAGATAGTCCCAAACAAATTACTTCTTAAAAAAATTGCAATGCGCAGAATGCATTTACACCCTAAATCATACATAAAATCGCATATACAAAATGCATGAAAGTTGTTGAAAGGGGAAATGAAGAGAAATCAGTGACTTTGCATCGATTGACACCCACGATAGATCAAACGCGTCACAGCACCTCCAACAGTGACCTCCAGCTGATACAGGATAGGGGTGGCAATCGGGTCGAGTTCGGGTTGGCGGGTCGGGTTGAGACCCGGGTATAACAGAAAACCCGTTGACCCGAACACGACCCGCCAACCCGAAACGGGTCAGGATACCTGACACGAACCCGAAAATTTCGGGTTGGCGGGTCGACCCGAAATGATCCGAAATTTAATTTTAATTTATTACTGCAATTTATAATAAAATCAATTTCTCACAAAATTAATTACATAATCAAGTAATAAAAATTTAAATAAATAATTTCAAACCAAATCTAAAATAAATTAAACACCATAAAAGTGTTTTATCCCAAATCAAATATAAAATAAATTAAAACAGTATATAAGTAAAAAATAATATAATATATTATTTGTCCAAATATAATAATTTCAACTTCACACAAGTTAAATAAATTCATTTAGGATTAAGTAATTAATGCCTTTGAAAAAATGAATAACTTAGTTTAGTTAGACAAAATAATTTTTATGTTTATTAAATTATTTTTAATTCGTAAACGGGTCATATCAAGTCACCCACGGGTTGACCCGAAATCGACCTGTTTTCTTTTTAGGTTCATCAGGTTTGACCCGATTCTGACCCAAACTCTCGAAACCTCAACCCAACCCATTAATTTCGTATTAGATTCGTGTCGTGTTTTCGGGTCGTATCGGAAATTGCCACCCCTAATACAGGAAACAAAATTGTCCCAGATATATCAATCAAAACCAGAAGCCCACGACTTTTTCACTCTTTTGACGTCGAGAAATACTCTGGAAAACAAGAAACACTTGAACAAAAACTGTTAAACCAAAACTGTTTCCTTTTCTTTGTCTGTAAAATTCATAATAATAAGAAACACAAAGCATAGAGAAACAGCCCCTTACGAATAAACAATCAAGCATTTTCCCTGTCAATTTCTCAAGTAGCTTAGGAACCCAACTTAAATACTTTTGGGCAGGTAGAGTTTGGTATTCTACGTACTTTAATGGATTGGCAAAAGCAGTAATGCTTCATAATTTAACAGTCCGAAAAGATGCAGCAGCCAATATGCTCATCTCCTCTTTGTCCAGTAACCAATGTTCAAATCTCCCTTAGCAAGCGCACATCAGTTAGTTAACAATATCAAATCCAATGGCTATGAGAAGGCAAAGGTAACTTGTCAAGCAGAAAGCAAATACAGCAAATAGAGAAAACAATTACCTGTCATCTCCCTCTTCCCATACATGGTTATGTTCCTGTGACAAGATGAGAATAAAGGGGATGAAAATAATGAATTTGAAAAAGCAACCAGAATTCAGATAAACAACCAGTCCAATCAAAATCGGATCGCATTAATCCATGATTTCAACCAACTTTGGATCGACAAACCAAAAAGGAAGGCCTGCAGAGACTAAGAACTTATTAAGGTTTATGGCTAAGAATCCTTCATCTTTCAGAAGTATACAGAAAGGATGGAAATATGGCTTTCAAAAGAAAAATGGAAGCATAACTCAGTGAGCGTGAGCATTTTTTTTTTTTAACCTTTTTTCAACATGTGATAATATTATACAACAAAAGCCAAAGCAGTTGCAATGTTAGTAAGATGTTTATAGTTGCTGTTAGATTTAGATGGTTTCAACTACATCAATCACCACATAAATGCTTCCTGAAATGTCTTGGACATATTCCCTCAGTTTAGCACTACCATCCAAATCAGGATAGCAGTTGAATGTAGTACTATTTTAATTAGTTTAAACTTGATATCGTCCCCTCCATGTTGTCAATTTAAGTCCTCAAAATTTTTTTCTAAAAAAGAACATACAGTCATGTACAAAAGCTTGGCATGGTTATGGATGAGCGATATGAAATACTCAATCAAGTGGCCAACAATTCTATATATCTAAATAGACTTAGAATACCACAGATTTCAAGAATCAACTACAAAAAGAAACCTTTGCTCGGGCAACAATACAAGGTCCCTAAAATATGATCGATATGATATACTCATGAAGGGACTAACAATTCCAGATGTGTAAATAAACCTGAAATGTGTCACAATTTCAGATGTGTAAATAGACATCAGTCCTTGTAGTATTCAGGAAACATCATCCATGTAGTCAGAGCATGAGAATAACCAATTTTGATTAAATTCAGCTATTCCCTTTACAGCATTTAGTTTAGACCCAAAACAAACATATTACTACCTCAAAAAAAGAAGTTTTTTGGTGAATATATTAATCAAGTGAAGTTAAAAGTGTAGGAAAAAGCGGCTCGAACAATGCTAACACTTGAACACTTGAGTCGTGCTTGAAAGCACTGTCCTAAGAAACTATTTCAGGGTATTGAAATGTTTTCCCAGGATTAAACAAGTCTTCCTCTACTTTGTGAGAGGGACATAGAACCAGCAAAAATAAACTTGTTTCTAACCCAGCAGAAAAGTAAGAATGTTGTGAAAGATAGACAAAGGAGGAGGTAGAGAGAGTTTTAAAGTGTAGACTTCGGTTTTGCAGTGCCAAATGAGCCTGGCAACTCGTTCTATTTATAAACTTCACGGGACGGAAGAAGATAGAATTTTGAAAGCTAATTTTCCGTGAGAATAGGCTTGCTTCGTGCCAGACGTTATCTTTTGAAGTAGTCAGAGGTCTATCCTCTGTGGTGATAAGTTTGGAAAAGGTCAAGTGATTTGGAAAAAAGGTCATCCGAAGCTTAACTTCCTATCTGGCACTTGAACTTGCCTTTTAGTCAAAACCTTATCTTTGAAAACTTCTCCATCAAAATAGAAACAACCATTTCTGATGAAGCATTATCAGATAAAGCTCTAGTCCGAAACAAACGAAAAAATCTTTTGGAATATCAAGTTTTTTAACAACAAAAAGCTATTTAGCAGTATAGAACATCGGCGTGTACAAACTGTGTGCTACAAAGTGCAAATAACTGAAAAACTAAAATAGCACAAATCAAAAGTAAAAACCAAGCATTATTCAAATACATACAGCAAAAGTATAACCTGGAAACACTGAGAATCTGCACCGAGAAATAGACAACAGTTAGGAGCCCCGCACAGAGAGTTAACAGTCGCACCACCATACCACTCAAAGTCGTAATTGCATGATAGCTCTGTTCCGGTAGATATACCTACCTTTGCAAATACCCCAACCCGTGTTTCCCCCAGTACAGTCCATTTCCTTGTCTCACAATTAGGTAGGCTGCCAATTCCAGTGAAAAAAGTATAAATTCCATTTCTACATGCCCAAATGATTCCACACTGTTGCTTGAAACTGAAAAGGCGTTTAAAAAAGGACACATTATATTCATAAATACAACTTACTGACTGACCATGAATGATTTATAAACCTGGCAAGGTTTCCCTTCTTTGTAGCATCAATGAAATAATTCGAACTTAGAGATATTATATATGCATCCCTCAAACCAGAAAAGCATACTAATATAGAAAGAGCATTTTTGTCCTAAAAGGAGGGTAAAGGGCATATTTAATGAATTCAAGAAATAAAGTGCAAATATGAATACAGTTCAGGAGGAGTTAGTATATTTCGAGGTAGAATATATTTCGAGGTAAAAAGTGATGAAAAGGGCAGTGATAGAAGTGGTTTATGGGATTTTGAGACAAAGAAGATTGGTGCAAAAGGGGATGGAAAGGGTGGTAGCTATGATATTTTTTGATGGTGAAGGCCAACAAGAAGGAAGCCATTTCCCTATTATTTCACACCCAACAAACATGGCTTTAAAGGTTTATGATGTTATTGTATAACTTTTTGTATCAATTTCGTAGTACTACTTGAAGGCCTCGTGGGTATAGAATTGATTTGATAACTTGATTCCGTATGTATGTATATTTGAGATAGTTAGAACTAGGAAAATCAATGTATTTCTGATAAATGTTCACTTTTTCTATATCATTTTTCTATCACCAAATCGTACAAATTATAGGTGTTGATTGTATGTTGGTCACAGACCAACAATCAACCTATGACACAAGGGGTACACAAGGGATGAAAATGTCATTTTCTTAATCCATGGTCGATCGAATCGACTTTCACTTGCCGGAGTTTGTTCAATTGTAATAGGTTGCAACAAAATTAAACCTCGAAGTAGTTAAGTGCTGAAATTAATGGTTGAGGGTGCAAAGTGCTATATGAGCATAGTAACTGGGGTTGCAAAGTGAAATTAACCCTAATAATTATGCCATATCTCATGGGAGGCAATTGTAATTTTGCAAACTCCAAGTCGGTTTAAGATTTGCGGCCCTACTGCCAAACCAATTGCAACTTCATTGCATGTAGCCGACTGTACCCCATCTTTGCCCAAATCTTACACAAGAATTTTCCCACCCCTTTCTATATAGAAACTCGTTCAAAATCCTCCTCCCAACAAATCTCCCTTTCCTCAGTCACACACAAAAGACACGCACAAAAACACACATGTGAAATCCCTAATTTCTGGGAATTGGGATTGTTATTCTTCTCCAGTGTGTATTGTGTGTGAAAATAGTACACATAGAGAGATGCCAATAGAAATGCCAAGAGGGCTCCCATTTTCAGTGGATACATTTTCTCCAAATTCAAAGAGAAAAAGGCATCATTTCCTCACACATGCCCACAAGGACCATTGTCAAGGAATTCTCACCCATGCTTCTTACCCCATCTATTCTACTCTTCTCACCAAGGGCCTTGTTCTCCAGTATTATCCACAGGTTGGTTCATCTTTTTTTTTTTGGGTCCAGTTTTTGTTGTTGGGAGATATTTATTTTGTTTAGTTGCAGAGTTTTTTTTTTTAATTCAAATTCAATTTAAATTTTGTTTATGGCAGCTTGATGATGGGGTTTTTGTGGGAATTGAGGTTGGTAAAATGCTTGTTATTGGTGATCCGGATGGCGATTTTGCGGTGACTGCTTTTGATGCAAATCATTGCCCAGGTGAGTCAATCTTCTTTTCTTCCAGAACTTCTGGGTTTTTTTTGTCTATCATCTGCTTTCATGATCATTTTCTGTTTTGGCTTATCATTTTGCTGATAATCTGATGTTCGTTACAATGAAAACTACTAATTTTTATGGTATTGTTCTTGTAGAAATTATGCTTCAAATGAGAGATGGCTGATTATCTCTGACACAGGAGCAATTATTCGAATTATCTGTGATTGATAATGTGTTAGTAGCTAGTTTAATTAGCAATTGTTTGGGCTTTTGCTTTTATAATTGTTACTCGTTCAGATGTATTCATTTTGGTGATTTGAGAGTTTTAGTTCCTGCTTTAATTCTAGCTTACTTTAGACCTGGTTGACAAGCCAAGTTGATATTTTGTGAAGGCGGCACCTATCCTTTGATGCATAAAACAAATTAAGTTTAGCTAACTTGTGAGATCAAGGTCATAAACCAAAAAGGAGTTTTTGTTTTGGCTCTTCAGTAATCTATGTCATCCTCAAATTTCCAGGGTTTGATTAACCAGTAAGACAAATATTATAAAAAATTCAGGCAAGAACTTGGGAACAAATTATATACACTATAAAAGGAGGGAAGGATGGGGAGAGGAACTTACAAGGAATGAGGAGCAGTGAAAAGTTATCATTCTATTGCAAACATGGTTAACATTACTTGGATGAAATGTGAAAGTCAACAAAGAGACGCTTAAAGGGAGAGGGAAGTTGGCATTTGGAAAGGTGGGAGGGAGAACAATAAAGGGGGGGGGGGTCGATTTTATTATTCTGGCCTTTCTGTGGGTTGGTGAGTGGGACAAAGTGGATAAATTGGTTTGAAGAGAAGTTCCACATAAATAAGAATCTTCAGTTATTAACTGCTTTCAGAATGAAAGTGAAGAAAAATGGCAGCTTCGGCAAGTTTCATTCATCTTTAATTTTCTGATGGTTCTCTTAACCGCCAAACTTTCTAACTGGAAACTTCAATGGCCAAATATTACAGAGCTCACATCCACCTCTTTAACACAAATGGAAATCTTCTTTATCTTTATAACTTAAAGTTGCACCTGAATAAAGGGGCTCCTACAGTTCTTGAATAGTGAAATTAGCTTGCTTCAAGCTAAAACTAAGATCCACTGCTTTTTTATTTGTTGCTTTAGAAACTTATTCTGCTATAAAATAATCCTTTGTGTGCTTCTTTAGCTAGTTTCTTTTTCCTTTTTGGTCTTTGGTGCTTATTCACCATGCTTAATAAGTTTGTAGCAGGAAGGTCATAATCTTTGGAAAGAAGAACAAACATTGGGAAGGAAATTTTGGCATTGTTATTAGATCAGCAATTGGAGAACATCTTTTGTTGTTTCTAGAGACCTTTGGGGACTCTGATCTTAGTCTTTCTCTGCGGGAGGTTTTGTAAGTAAGGTTTTCTGACATTTGGTTGTTGTGTTGCTCACTGGCTCCTAGTTTCTTTGCATAAAATTTTTCAGATGAAGATGATGTATGTGTTGTCTCTGGGGTTTAGCATCGTCAAATAGGCCTGAGTTAATCTTCCCTCGGGAGGGGGGGCTGCGGGTGTGTGTGTTCGGTTAAACTCTAAGGGCTGAGTTGTAAGTACTGGAAATTAAGAATTTATATTTGCTGTTGTCTTTGTTGATTTCATGCACATTAACAGCTGAGCCTGCACCAAAATTTCCATTTTTTCGCTTTGGAAGCATTTCCATGACATGCATGCTTTACACACACACACACACACACACACACAAAGAGAGGGGTTATTTCTATCATGCATTTGTGACAATACAGTGGTGGTTGGAAGATTTCAGTTCTTTTACTATCTTCTTCAATCCTTTGACCTTTTAATTCTCCTATCGAGGGTCTGAGTTCAGATATGTTTCTTTTGTGATGATTCATAGGTAGATAGCTTCTGTTGTATGAAAACATCAAGTTCTGGAGCTGTTTTTTGAATCACATTCCAGATATTTTAATAACACTCTGTGTGGCTTTAATAATTGGAGCTGGAATTTTCTTATTATCATGTGTCTTTGTTATATTTATTTTTATTGTTGGTTGGCCCAATAGAAGTTTCATTTTTCTTTGTTCCTTCAGTATTTGATTCTTTTTCTACCTGGTGTGAATTCATTAGGACCTGAGCCTATTCACGATGGTGATTGTGTTTGAATGTGGTTTTTGAATTTCAGGAGCTGTGATGTTTCTTTTTGAAGGCAGATTTGGTAACATTCTACATACAGGGGATTGCAGACTTACACCCGAGTGCTTGCAAAGCTTACCGGAGAAGTTCCTAGGAAAGAAAGGGAAAGAACCCAGGTGTCAATTGGATTATGTATTCTTAGACTGCACATTTGGTAGGTTTCCCTTGAAAATGCCAAGCAGGCAATCAGCAATCCAGCAGGTTCATACATTCTTCTTATCGATTCTTATCCTAGAATAGCTTGAACTCGTTGTGCTGCTTTTGTCAAATACAGATCATTCTAGCAATAGGATTTCACACATCAAAATTCTACCGCTAATCTATTCTTTCTATTGCTATTTGGATTGGATATTATCAATCAATGGTTATACGTGGTATATCGTTAGGGAGTTGGTATATCTGGTCTTATGTAGATATGTAATATGTGTAATATGTCTTAAGCCAATAGCTTCTTATGTGTGAATCAATTTCAGATGGATGTTCTAGGTTGACTTTGCGTAGATATTGATTAAGACTCTGAGAATGTAATTATTTCAAGAAAGAAGTGGAGACTTGTAGAATCTCTATGTTAACTACTATAAATGGAATGAATATGTAATGAACATGTAGACTAGTTACTAGTGGCTAACTTTTTGTTACATATAATATTGCAACTGGAATAATCTAGTTATTGGACTTTTCATCTAGTACAAATTGATATGGTTTTGGCACTAGCAGAGAAGGACAAAATAGGACCTTTTTTTTTGAAATGGGGAAGTACTATTCAATTGATACACTTTGTAAGTCACGGTCATTAATCTGAAGCCTATTTACATTCTGTTAGGGTTAGACTGAGAGTCAAATTGCTTTTCCTGAATAAGTCGACTCAACTAGGAATGCACCATATGAAGAGTTTGATCTATTTGATCGTCTTAATGAACAATATGCCTTAGAGTTGAAAACCCAAGATTCTTTGTTAATGCATTATTTCTTTTTGGTGTCCCTTTCTTTGGGAGTTGGGACTTTTAGGTATTTGTTTCTTAGGTGAGTCATGTAGGTAGCATTTGGCACCCGTTGAGAAATGAAACTTTTGGGGAAAAGTTCATTTAATGATTATTTCCATGAACAGTGGTGAAGGGAGAGCAAACAAAGTTAGGTAAGAAATTGGAAGAGTACTGCTGATGCGTGTCAAGTTTGTAGGCCTTGAGTTGCAGGGAAAAACAATCAATGTAAAAACGAAATATGCTGCCTCTCCTTGATTAATATCACCTAGCAGGTGCATGAAGGGGGGAATTTTGGGTCAAGTAAAGCTTGGTAGAATCACGTCCCAGCATTTCTAGGTAAGCAGCACTGCTGTAAAAAGAGTTGTGATCCTTATAGACCCTTGATACAAACATTGGTATTTAGTTGAATTACTTTGTGGAGGTCAGATACTCTATGCCCCTGCTTAAATGGTATGAGGAGCAGTTTCCACATGGTAGAGATGGATCTATATAAATCATTTTGAGCCAGACCACTAGTAGCATTTTGGTGAAGTGTCTTATGAATGTACTAGGAAACTCATAGACTTTGGCGGTGGAGGCATCAGATGAAGTGTATATGAAGAATTTGAGATTCTAGTCCAGTTAATGTGTATCTAAAATGGTTGGTTATTTATACCCAACACGTGAAAGAACTACTATGTACCAGCATACATCATCTTGGGATATTCCCTCACATGTAAAATGGGAACTTAGTTGTATTCAGGAATTTTAATCTTCTTTGCAAGGCTTTTGCCCTCTGGCACTTTAAGCTTTGGTATCTTGGATCTGGCTTTCTTGCTGTAAAGATTGGGATATCAAAATGCCAGTATGTGCTTTTGCCTTTTGCAGTTCCTTCAGCAATACAGACTGCTAGTTTGAATTTAAGAGGGGTACAGTATGTTCTGAAGTGTCGCATCTTTTTTTAAGAAAGCTAAGGGAATGTTACTTTGTTTTGATTAATACCATGATTTACGGAGAAATCTTATGTTCATTGGCAACATAGTTACTCAAAAGTATGGGATACTGTTTCCTTTTAGCTAGTTTGTCTTTCTAAACTATTCTAAGAAGTTGAGACAGATTAATGAGCAATTGTTACTGTAGATGTAATGGTAAAGTCATACATGGATTACAGTCTATGAGCATGGAAAACCACAAAATTTGGACATGACAGACTATGCTTCTTATATGAAAAATACACGGTTTACAGACTATTTGAGTACTGAAAACCAGAAATTTGAAGTTGAGAGAGGATGCTCCTTTAGCCAAAATATACATGCAAGTGTTTAACACGTAGTTTGCAGAGCATTTGAGTATGGAAAACTGGAAAACTTTAAGATCAGGGAGGATGCTCCTTTACCTGAAACAGACATGCAAGTGTTTAATAATAGCTGATGGAGAAGTTTACTGATATCTATGCTTTCTCCTGAATAGAAGGTTTTGTGGTTGTGGAGAAAGAGTCTGGTTTTTTCAGAATTTTTCTGCTTCCTTAATTATTTTTCAGTAATTTCTTTCTCAAGTTTTGGAGGGAGGGGATGAAAGGGAGCCAAAGCTGTGGATAGTAAAGTAGGTATTATACTGAATGAAAAATTTTAGAAGAACAGCATTTGAGCACTCTTGGATATTAAACTCTGTCTAATCTGCTTCATATGTTTTCTTATCTTGCCTAGGATATCAGCCATATAAGTATATCAAAAGTCTTCAGCAATAGATGTAAGACTTTGCTTTCTGTCTGTGTGCTGCTAGTGGGATTAGATGACTTGCGTGTCATTGAATTTACAAATGCCAGATCAAACTGCTTTACGTCATTGTATTTTTGCACTCAAGTATAAGCTCATTTAATTGTTCAAGTCTTGCAATCACACAGGTCATAAATTGTATATGGAAGCACCCTGATGCACCCAGAGTGTATCTGACCTGTGACCTTCTAGGCCAGGAAGAAATTTTGGTGAATATATCTCAAACATTTGGCTGCAAGATATATGTTGATAAAGTGCAAAATCCTGGATGTTATCAGGCTCTAGAACTTACAGTTCCTGAAATTCTGTCACAAGATTCGTCTTCACGTTTCCAGATATTTGACGGATTTCCCAAACTTTGTGAAAGAGCAGAAGCCAAGATTGCCGAGGCTCGTGCTAATTTTCAGCATGAGCCTCTAGTTTTACGTCCTTCTGCACAGTGGTATGCATGTGAGGAAGGATATTCAGAGGCTGAAAATCGAAGAAAGAGAATACATGATCAAGCTGTAAGAGATATTTCTGGTGTTTGGCATGTGTGTTACTCGATACACTCATCCAGGGAAGAACTAGAGTGGGCTTTGCAGCTACTAGCACCAAAATGGGTTGTCTCAACAACACCTAGTTGCAGGGCCATGGAACTAGATTATGTAAAAAGGCATTGCTTCAATGCTCGAACCGGTTCAGATAATTCCTTCTCAAAACTCCTGAATATCACTCTGGGGGATTCTTCAGCTCCAGAAACCACACCAAGTTTGAGTTGTTCGCCTATCATTGAAATACCTAGTAAAGATGATTTGGAAACCCAGTCCAAATCAATGCTAGCATCAACAAGCCACAGAAGATTATTAAATTTGTCTCCCCCAAGCAAAAGACCATCTGTCACATTATTTGGAAAAGCAAGGGTTGGAATTCAGGATTCTATCTTCAAGCATGAGAAGGAAACAGTTACAGAAGATGATTCTTCACAGAAAGCAAGGGAAGATACTTCACTTAGGCAAGTGGAGGTTGTTGAAGTGGAATGCAGAAAGTCATTTGAGGAAAGCAGAGAGGAAGAAGACAGGAAAATAAGCAAGTCAACACAAAGAAGAAAACGTGCTTCTGATTCACCAATTGGATCGTCAAAGAGCTTTAGTCAAAGTTTGAGGAACTTTTATAGGTCCATGAATGTATCAGTACCGCAGCCTCTCCCATCCTTAGTGGAGCTTATGCATGCCAATAAATGCTCCAGGAGAAGATTCTAAATCCAAGTCTTCTGAATATCATGGTGGATTTTAAATTCTCTCTGTAATTCGGACCATTGAATTTATGCTTCTCTCTCAAAGGCAGCAGAAGTGTACACGTTTCAATTCTGGCTCCTTTGGCATTCTCCATTGTTTCAAGATTCAGATGCCATTGTGCTTGACAAGAAAAACTGATACATATATACATGTACATGGAATTGTTTAGGTAGTATACCTTCTGCAACTACCCAGTTTCCTTCCTCTTTATGTTGTAAGTGCATTTGTTTTTAGTATACTTCAATTGAATTATTCAAAAGTTAGCGTATTTCTCAGCACCTTGTGATTTGTACATGATTAACTTGATATTTATTCTGTAAACCCCATTTTTTCAATTGTTTATCCTATCCTGAATTATATTCTTTCTATTCATGATGCATTTTAATCTGCGATTGTACCATATGGACAGTTTATAAAATCTACAGCTGGTTACGGCTTAAAGCTGACTTTGTATATGCTTCCGCAGGTATACCTTGCGAAAGTTATGCTTGTAACTGTCTTCACTGATTTCTTTTTGAGCCAACTTACAAATACGAGTGACCTAAACACCTCTGTTTGGATCCTTCAGTTTTTCAAAAATTAGTTTTTCAAATATTATAAATTTTTTTTAAAAAGTAGTCTAAATTTTTTTAAACAATATTCTAAAATATATTTTGAAAACTCTACTACTCTTAAATATTTCAATATATTTTCTAAAAATATCCCAAAATATACTCTAAAAACTCTGTTACAGTAAATTTTTTTAAAAATACCTTCAAAAACAGCTAATCCAAATTTGGGACTTTGAGGATGTTTAGAGCTGATGAATTTATTTGGTAGAAAACTTGGCAACTAAAAGCAAAAAGAAAAAGAAAAAGAATCAACTCTATATGCCTCAGTGGTTCTGCATTGCTATGGCAGATAATCAAAACTAGGGCTCACACTCATACATCAGTCATTGCTACTGCAAAATTTTTTTCTGCTTTAAGTTCAGAGTACATCTAAGTACTTCATATTTCTTCAATGCCACTAGATGATGTTGCTGCTTCTTGCAGGACGGCCGTCAATTTTCTTTTTTCTTTTTTTTTTTTAAATAAAAAATGTACTCTTTCTGTTCTAGAACTATGTGGTTTGCTTAACAAAAATGTAAATGAAATGATTTTTTCTGCTTGACATAAATAATGCGATTCTGCAACCTAATACATTTCATCCTTTGCTGCTGCAATACCACTATAATTCTATGGTTTCAAAAGCAAATGAGGTACAACATATCCTAGTTTATACCCTCTATAAGAGTTCTTTCAGCTTGAAGGACTTTTTTTGTCCTGATAACTGTAATCTTTCGTTTCAAAAGTAAATGAAATACGGCAAATTCTAAATGTAGTTTATACCCTCCATGAAAATGTTTTCAATTGGAAGCATTTTCTTCTCCTGATAAAGCCATTCAATGACCAAAAATCAAAGCCACAGTCTCAAGGCAGATAATTTGGTTTACGGTCACTGCAATATTATGTTAAGCTACAATGGATAGTAAGAAAGCAAGAGCCTGTAAAATTCGCATGTACTTCAAAACATGGTATCCTCTCCTAGTTTTGAAATATTAAGATCACCATTTCTCTGGCTGTGCCTCTGAATCCTTACATTCTTTCATAATCTAGCTTATCAGACTGCAAGAATGCATAACCATATATCAAGACTTAAAAAAATGTTAAAAAGACAATACAAAATGCAAAAACCATATCCGAATATACTACTGCAAAGTTCTGCAATTGTCAGTAAAAGTTAAGTGCACCAAGTTAATTACACAAGGTACTGAAAAACCTTCCATTATGCTTAAAAAACCATGCTAAGAAAAGAGTTAAAAATGTGAAATGCTACCTTGATAAGCATGTCTGTTGGAAGCCAAGCTGGTGCAGTTGGTATTCCAACCCATCCAATCTGCTTAAGCAAATATTTGTTCATGAGCAAGTTTCTACTAGTCAAAAGTAAAGAGTATATGCTTTTCATTCTTAATTCTCATACCTTTTTTGTTCATGAAACAGAAAATCACGGTTTGAGATGTAATATCTTTCCTCTACTGATTTCTCTACGTCATAAATCATTTCTTTTAGCAATGGAGGTGGAATGGATTATCTGAAAGCTCTTTCAACCTTATATTACTAAGTTTCAGAAGAATCATACGAATTTTGCACTGGATGATGACTAAGCAAAACAATTCTTCAGTTTTAATTCATTATGAAGAGTCACATTCTTCTAAGTTTGTCATGTTAGATTGAATGTTGTAATTTCAAACCAAGGCTAGTCCAAAATTAATGAGAGATGCAAAAAAAGCTGTACTTACCAGCGCATACTCTCCTGTCTCAAATATCCGAATGTCCAGCACCTAAAATGAGGTGGTAAAATAGGCAAGAGGACACCTGAAATCAGTGTACTGCAGCCTCATTGTATTCCATATTTATTAAGAATTATGTAGCAGAATGAAGATAATACCTCCCCCCTATCTTCATATATGTAGTCCAAACCTTTATAATAAGGTGGATGTCCAACAGATAAGTACTGAAATTTGAAGCAATAACAGTTAGCAGATTATACCTCCTGATAGACAAGAAACTAGAAAACAGCATTTTATCCTGGAAGACAAGACATCAACAATCTGCTGGTCCTTTGCTCATAAATTTCTAACCTGAGATGGGATACCTTACATTCATGTCAGCTTTTCCATAGCCAAATGAGGTTTTCTGTAGTTCAGCATTGCATTGCTGAATCTAATTTTTGTAATTGATATATCCAAAAATTAAAGCGAATCTATTACTAGAACTGAATTTATTGGAGAAACTGAAGAAACAAAAACACTTACATTGATACTATTAAGGTACTTCTCCTTATCCACTCTCACAATCTGCCCCTTTTTCACTGCCAGAAAGAGTTTGCACAACTAAATTTGAACTATTCTTTACACATAATCCAGTAATTTTACAAGATTTGATCGGTTAACTCACTTGAATATACAGGCTTTTTGGGCTTAGGAGGAGGACTCGTGGATGATGCAGGTTGAGAATTGGTAGAAACTTCTTGAGTTTTTGTCTCTGTAAGCTTCTGATCACTTGCGGGTTCGGCCGATTTTTCAGCTTTAACTACTCGTATTCGAAATGGGATTCTTCTTGCTGGCGAGTGTAGAAGTGTAGAAATGTATGAAAATGAGCTCTTCGAAAAGGTTGCTGAGAAAGCCATAGAAGAAAGAAAAAGAAGAAAATGCTTTCAATTGATTCTGCTTCAGTGACCCCTCTATAGATAAGGGAGGGAGAAGACCAACGGTCAGATTTCAAGAGAAGACCAAAAATCTGTTGGTTGGCGCTAAATTACCTTTATAATATGCGACTAGTATTTTGCTTGTGCATTAGCATGGAAATTTTTTTTATTGTGATTAATTATAAATAAACGTAAGGCTTAAATAATTCAATAACAATGTTTTATATAAATTATTTATATTTATATCAAAAAATTATTATACTCCAAATATTTAACTACTAATTAGTCTTTAGAAACTTTTATATGTAAATTTATTATGATGTGATAACATTCATTAAATGGTATAATTCAAAAAAAAAAAAAAAGAAATAACAGGTGTTCTTTGAGATAGTAAATAAATTTTATCATAAATATGATTATACACCGACTCATATTCATTTTCAATTCAAGACAAAAGCAAAAATATAATAATCTATTTTTGCATGAATGATGTATTACTGCCTATCAAAGTTAATAAGTTTATCAATGTAACAATTACATTAACTGTAAGCCAATTTATCATATATGGATAAAAAGAATAATTCACGTCTGTTAAATAAGATAGAGGTTGTGAGAAGAGGGAGAAATTATAAATAAGATTAGTTAGAAAAGAATTAGATGGAAAAATGGGTAAAACCCAAGTATTCGTTGACCCATTAGTTTTCTCTAATTAGGCATGATACCTAGGAGAGAGAAGATACTTATTTGCAATAATAAGTTTCATACACACATGTATGTGTGTGTGCATGCGCCTGTCTATATATATATATATATAGATTGTAAAGTACACGAATTAATTTTTTCTATAATGATAGTGTAAATTCATGTACCGAATATCAATAGCAATATTAGTATCTACATCTTCTAAAACCACCAAATATAGGAATAAATATTAATTGCAATTTGCAAAGCGATCATACGTTAATATGACCATATTCAGATGAAGAAGAAGAAAAAATGGAAACTGATGTGAAAGAAGAAATTGTCCATGTAAGAGCCTACACGATAAAGGAAACAAAGGCTACCGTTGAAGGACTCAATTGACACTTTACTATAAATTAGAGGGTCATTTCATATTTACCTTCGGTTCTGATATTTGGTTGAAATTGCAACAGTTTTGATTGTTAAACAAAATCTTCTTCTTTTTTTTTTTTTTTTTTCCCAAAGACATCTCCCAAAAATGTCTCTACTTTGACATCAAATGTTGAAAATCGACTGTCAATTATGACATTGGGAAATAGATGTATCATTAGATATGTTTATGGAGACAGACAAAATGATACCACTGCTACACATGAAAATTATTTTTTTTCTTCTCAATGTATTGTTTTATAATAAATCACGACATTTTCAAAATGTCCATCATTATAAACATTTTCAGATTTCTCGATAATTCTTGTGGACATTTCTCAGGGACAATTCTAAGGTAATATCTTCCCTTTTGAATTATGCATGGTGGAAAATGAAATTTTGAGAGAGCTTTAAAAAATGTAATAAGTTTCACAGGCAAACATTATCCATGTAATTCTGTTTGCAAGTACATTTGTCTTGTTAATATTTACATCTGTTCTGCCAGTTCCTACATCACTTTACACATTCAAACTTGGTAATCATGAAGGAATTCATAAGACCAAACCTTTGCAAATAAGACCAACCAAATATAACAGAAAAGATTCATAAGTAAATATAAGATGTATTGTAGACTTGTAGTATGTACTATACTGCTAAAGAAGCCAACGTTTTGAAAACCGGATTGGATCGGCTGGATTGACCAGTTGAACTGCAAACTGATTATGCCTTCAATCCGGTTCAAAAAAAATCCAAAAAATCAAATGAAGTTAAACTCAGTCAAGAACCGGTTGAATCAGTAAAAATTGGGAGATTCAACCAATTTTTATTAAGTATTTTAATTCTATTCAAAAATTTTAATACTAAAATAAATTTTAAAAATTATTAAATCTTTAAATCGGTTAAATCGATCGAACTACAAATCGGAAGGTTTTCCGATTCACTGTCCAGTTCGAATTTGAAAACATTGATGGAAGTTAGAAACGTGCTTGAATGACATTTCCTTCGACTTGAACTCTAGAAGGAGCCCCACAAATTATTTAAGGTAAATTACATATAACCTCCTATAATTTCATCTATTATCATATGACTCCCCGAATATTTCAAAATTTTCATTTCACCCTCCTATGGTTTCACGTAAAGAGGAAATTTGACGAAAAATAACCTATGTAATGTTATTAATTAAAATACCAATAATGCTGCTACTTAAATGCTAAATCAATCAATGATTTAACTACCTTCTATAAAAGTATAGAGGGATTATGTGAATGAATACAAAAATTATAGACGATAAATTGGATATTTATACAAATCATAAAAAGGTCATATGGAAATGAATATTTTATCACATGTGCTTTTAGAGTGCCCAAACGCCATAATTAATTGTGCATTCTATCTATTTTTCACTTTATAAAAAATTATAGGGGGTTATGTGGCTATTTGAAAACCTTAGGAGAATCATCTGGCATTATATAAAATCACACGAGGGTTACAAGTAATTTAACCAATCATTTATCGAGGGTTAAAACCACTACAGGAACAGCTTGGCTTTTCATCCTCTGTAAGGTAACATTCAAGGAAAAAAAGAATGCAACAACCGGTCTACAAAGTACAACAAAAATTACAGCACAGGAGTCCTATAACTCCCTCAGCTAAAAACCTCGTAGAACTTCTCAGTGACAAGTAAGCCAGAGTCGATCGACTCCCAAGGGGTCCTTTCGGAGAAGGTGTCTCAAGCAATTTGGGATGACTCTGGCAATGTCCTCTGTTAGCTTTTGCTAGAAGACCTGGCTCAATTGTTCCACAGACTCTTATCCTCTGTAGCACCTAATGGCAAATCAACCATGCTGATTTTTGGTTAACGTAATAGACAGCTTGTCCAACTACAGCAGAAAATGGATAGACTGGTATTTGGCTTTCTGTAGAAACAACCTTTTGAGACTGAAATTGAAACAATTCCAGACTTCAATGACACAATTTAACAATCCATCACAATCTTATAACCCCTTCCTGATTGAAGCACATGCCTTAGCCATTTAGGCTATTGTTCTCGATCTTGTTTTCAGCAAAATCCCAACTCAAGGAAAAACACCCGAGATTTAAACTGTCATTCACAACTTATGAACATGAATTATCCTGTAAATCTGAAAGTATTCGTCAATATGATTAATAACGTTTTCCAATATGCCAAGAACCCTAACTGGATAATCAATTAAACAAAATTACGCAGCTTTCTAGTTAAAATAACAGCATTAATAGAAAGATTATAGATAATCATAATTTATGTCAAAACTTCTGAGTAACCTTCTCAGACAAGTTAACTTTTATTCCTGAATTCAACAATACACATTTATTTACTTACAGAAAACACGCATAAACTACTATCAAACAACAGAAAGTAATTGTTGATTAAACAATCCTGTTAACCACGTGACGTGCTTTGCATAAGGCTTCTAGTGGCTTGGCTTTTGGCATGGACACTCCCGTCCCTTCAGCCATATCAATCTCCTCCTCACCAATTCTTTGCCAATCAAAACACTGAATTAGAGATCCCAAGGCCAAACCAACAACCCGCTGTGCTAGGCCAGAACCAGGACAAGATCTCCTTCCCATCCCAAATGGAATCAGCTTCGATGGCTCAACTTGCAAGCCTTCAAATCTCTCGGGCTTGAAGCTTGTCGGATCATCCCAAACGTTTGGGTCCCTGTGAACAGCCCATGCACTAACTAGCAAGATTGTGCCTCGCGGAATATTGTATCCTCCAATTTTACAGTCATCAGACGACTCGTGTGGTACTAACAGTGGCGCTGCTGGGTACAATCGAAGTGTTTCTGAAATGATGTTGTGAAGATATGGAAGATTGGATAGATCATGTTCCTCGACCAATCGATCAGTCCCTACTTGAGCATCCAATTCAGCTTGAGCTTTCTCTAGCACCTCGGGATGGTTGAGCAGGAGAGACAAGGCCCATTCTATAGTCACTGACGAAGTGTCTGTTCCAGCCATCAGCATGACCTACCAATAGCATACCAGTAGTTCAATTGTATGATATTTCCAATTCAACCGTGAGCAATGACTAAAAGTGAAAGATTATTCACTTACCACTATAATCCCTTTGATGATTTGGTCTGTGTAGTATTCTGGCTGCGATTCCTGCAAAGAAAGCAGATGATCAATCATTGTATTACTATTCTTGTTACGGCGATGCTCTTCAAGTAGGCCTTCCAAGAACGCGTCGAATTTGGTGAAAAGCTTCGTCAAGCTCTTCTCAAAGCTTCCATAATCGATCCACCTTAACAGCGGTAGGAAATCTCCCGGGTTTGCTAAACCACTATGTTTAAACACCTGTTTAATGAGCCCACGAAACTGCCTTGCTTCGTCGTTGTCGTCTTCCTCGCCGAAATATCTCTTTCCGGCCACCATCCTCATAATAATGTTCAAAGAAAGCTCAGATAATCTGGATTGCATTTCGACCTTAGCAAAATCATGGCGGGTGTTTTGAGCCAGTTTCAGAAGCAACCGTCTGATCTCATCTTTCCTGACGGACAAGAACATATTCAAACGACTGGTCGAAAATATTTCCACCGAACCCAGACGGCGAAGATTCCGCCAATGGTCACCATACGGGGAACCGACCATGTTGGTGTGGTTGTAACCAAAATATTTTCCTATGACAAAGCGAGGCCGGTTGGCGAGGATCACATCGTTCTTGGTGAAGCATTCCTCCACTGCCGAAGGAGATGATACCACCACTACTAGGCGGCTCCCGAACTGGAGGGAAATTACGGGGCCATATTTCTGGGAGAGGCTGTAGAAGGTTCTATGGAGAGGCGGTTTCAGGAGGCGGAGATGGCCTATTATTGGAAGAGCTGGTACTGGGCTTGGTGGGAGGTTTCGGAACCGCTTTGAAAGAAAGCTTAAACTAAGAAA